TACTCAGGCTCTAAGGCTGTCCCACCTTCGCGGCTTCACAGTAAATGAAGAAGGCTCTCCGGCACTCTTAAATGACAGTTCTGACGCCTCAGCTGTCCCGACCAGCAAAGCTTAGAGGCAGAGCCGACGATCACTTTGCAGCTCAGTCTAAGTCTTGGACAGGTTAGCGTGAGCTGCAGTAGTAGTGAACGACCCGGTATAAGTTTTACTCGGAAAACTGGCAAGGTAGCAGCGATAAGGCGTATGGTTTCTCGAAAGACCCCGCCGGAGTTTATAGATGTCGTGTCCACGCTCTCCTTCGTTTGCATGCTCTCTCGCTATTTTCTTTGGCCTCTCTCCCAATATCCACCTTGATTGTTTGCTTCTCGCTCGGCATAAGTAGGGCCTTATTAAGAGGGTTTCCGAAAGCTTCCTGTCCTTCTTTCTTCACGGACAAGTCAACCAGCACATACATTTCTGTTTCTGACCTCGCTATCAACGAACTTTTCACTGGCTCATCGCGAACTCTGCCTCTAATTTACTTACTCCTATCATGATATTGTAACGTTGTTGCTTTCTCATTTTTCATGTGTGCTGAGCGATACTAGATAGAGTACAATCTTCAAAACGATCTTGCACAATGAAAATAGGGCTCGCGGCTCCACTTCTACTATTGCTTTGCGCATCGTTCACTCGTGCCCCCCTATAGTACGAATTTCCAGAAGAATTATTATAATTTTCTACATGTTGACCATATTTTGAAAGAGAACCGTCTCGCTACTAGTTACTTTTTTGTTTTTTTTTTCGTTTTCTGCTTCTGGCCACGTCAGGCTCATCCTTCTAATCATGATTAGTAGTTCAGTTCGTTTCAACCCTCATGGATAGAAACAGAACAAGTTTCGTTTCTTCCTCATCTGCCGTCATCCTTCCTAAACTCCGAAAAATGGAATTTTCCTTAGTTTTATTATGATGGGCCTCTTTTCTTAGTGAGACGTTACATCAGACCTTCCCAATCAGTTGCGTTCAAGTGGAACATGTGCTTGGAAGTTTCTCAAGTTCATGTTTCTCTGTTCCACCCGTAGCGCTCAGTAAGGTTTTTCCACCCCACTAGAGCAGTCCCCATAGTTATACCAGTTACACCAGTGTTTCAAAGTTTTTCGCAGTTCAAAGAGTGCTTTATAATGTTCAAGCCCTATCACCGCAACGTGTGGCGAACGGAGATTATAGCCCTGCAAAAAAGGTCTTTGTCACGATCGGGGCAGGCTGTGTCTCCGCCCAACAAGACGGCTTAGATGCTTGACCATTACGCTGCTGATTTCATATCTGAAGTCATGGAAAACAAACCGTAACGCGCATGGAGTTTGGGATGGGGGGGGCGAGTGGGAAAGGAGCACTGGAGTTATGTCGACTTTCTCGCTTCGGCTACTTCTTTTCTGCAAGCACTGTACGTCATTGTTGTGTGAGATCCATCAGGAAATCGCATTTGGTCGGTGTGGAGAGGAGAGGGGAGTCGTATTTGCAGGCGCCGCAAAAGTGTAATTTCTGGCTGCTGATCGGAAATCTCTATTCCCGTATCCCCCCCCCGTTCACAGCGGAATTCAAAATTCAGGCCCGATTTGGTTGATGTGGTATATCGAAAAGCTCGCACTCTCAGGCGATGTCACGAGGGCGAATGGAGCCCGGCCTAGGCTGCCATTGCTTTACCATTATTAGTCGGCTAGTGAACGATCAAGGAAGAAGCTCGCGTCAAATATTGAAATCTACGAGCACGGACTTCGACATTCCACTAATAACGATGATGTGATGTACCCTCTGCAGGATACGGACAACTCAAACTCAGTTCCTTTTGATTTTCTCTGCGCTTACACGTCTACATGGTATTCTTTGGCCACTGTAATCTTCTACATTCGAACTTTTAGGCCTGATAAGAGGCTCATCCACCTGGAGTCCCTTCCCCCTGAAAAGGTCACGCCTCGGCTCGCGTTACGATTTTTTGGCACCTTTTGCTTGACTGGCAGCCGCAATCCTCTGTTTCCCTGAGCTCTGGCTTTTCGCGCCAGACCACCAGGTAAAATGCTAGTTGTCACGTAACCCTGTCTGCGAGGCCATATTTTGCCTCTGGTAGTCTGGTCTCTGCCAGGCCTGATACATGGAGAAGGAAAGCAACATGGAGAGGCTATCGGTCCCAGTGCACCATCGTTGTAGTTTCCTCAATAGGTCGTACTTGGTGGCTGGGGTCTCATATTTGGGTCTCAGAATTTTTTTTTTACAGTCGCATTTTTCTTCTCTTACAGACCTGTAAGAGGAGCGGGGAGACCGCACTTGCCTTCCTAGGGGCATTCCGTCGCCTGGAAAAAAGTTTTCTTGCTTGATGACTTGATGACTTTTTGCGGGTTTCCTGTTTCGCATGTGCTATATATAACAGCTCGACAGCTTGACCGTATTAGAGGGAACTAGGAAGGGGGGGGTGGGGAGGTCGTACGGGCTCGACCCTCCCCCCTCGCCCTCCACAATTCCCTCAGTTGATACAATCATCGCTCTATCTTTTCCACTCTTCTTCGAATAGGTAAATGCGCTGACCAGTTCACAACCGTGTGCGTATTTCTCTCTAACTTCTAATGCTGAACTTCCTCTTTTCATCACTTTTTTCGTTTTTGTTGCCTTTAAGCGTAAAAGTCTGCTTGTTCATACTGTATACTCATACTATATACTGTTGTAGTTGATCTTCTGAGTATAACAATTTTAGCGTGCTATATCATTATTAGTGCAAACAGCACTGCGCGTGCAACAGTGGGGTCGGCTGCCTACGAGTGACCAGCATTTTGCGCCAATGACCGCCATCCATGGTTATGCAACAAAGGATGCCCTTAATGCGTTCCATCTCCACCCCTTCACACGCATTCTCGTTTGCAGCATTCTCAATTGCAGGGATAATGAACCCAAATTTTCCGTAACTTGCAACACTTGATCTAGTCAGAAGTTCTGAATGGAAATTCATAATTTTATTTCCAGGTCCAAACCACCACTTGTGGTAGAAGTGCTGCGAGCAAAAACGGGTTATATTGCTTGTGAGCGTAAATATTTGGCATGTATCCAGCTGAATTCGCTACCGTATTAACAGCCGCAGGTTCGCGATGGATCAGCCGCATGTTTTCCGTCCGGATAGTCCGTGTCGTCAAGGTAGAGCTTTACAAAACTTTCTATTTTGTAATTTTTTTTTCTGGAGTGCTGTTTCAAGAGCTCGAGTCGCAGTACCGCGTCGCACTGATCAATTCCTTTTTGGAATGCTCCACTCATTCCATGCTTCCAAGCTCAAAAACTAAAGATAAATCTCACTGCGATTAATCATTTCTGGAGGTGCGCCACGCTTTCTGCTTTCGCTCAAAACTGCAGTGGCATTGTGAACGCTCATGGGCCTTGAGAATTGTTTGCAGGGCCCCAGCTGAGCACAAATCAGTGTCGACGCCCCTGGTGTAGAGCGGTGCCATCTGCAATTTCAATCCACCTTAGTTCTGACTAAGACACAAGTAGTTAGGTTGATAGCGCTAACGTATTGGGAAGCGGGCCAGGCGGCGGGGGAGGTGGCAAGCTACCACGCCCGCAATCTGCTCTTCTGCTCCCTCCTCGCCGAGACAATATCTCGTGTGTTTCGTTGGCTCCTGTGAAGGTTTTTCCGAGGAACCTTCGTGACTTCAGATGCAACATGAATTTAATACCGTCATAGGGTGGTATTTCAATAAGGTGAGGCGATTCTATACTGAAAAAGTGAAGAAGCATTTGTAAATTAGTGGACGGGCATGCGATTTGCCTATGCCGGCGAGGGAGGGGGCTTTGCTGGGGAGGGGAAATCCTTTTTGCAGAGTAGTGCTTTCAAAGATGATGCACCTAGATGCATAGCATACTTAATGGGCGAATTTGGTTGCCTTCTATTCAAAACTGATCAATTTCCCGCTTTTCGTGTCTCAAGACAATGGCAACATTTACACCTTAGAACTTTCGACCATGAAATTAGTACAGAGCTGTTCACTACGGACCACGCTACCTCCTCATTGCGTCTTCTGTATTTTCATAGTTTATCGCGGACTCTTCCTTTAAGTCGAAGTTGTAAATGTTGCTTGAAGCAGGAACTGCCGTTGTCGCAGGCGGAAGATCATTCTCTTATCAAGTAGTTGTCGATACTTGGGATGGTGGCAAGCTGACCACTGCGTATCCATAAGGGGCATCCTAAGCCTAGGGCATCCTAAAAAGGGGCATCCTAAGCCCCATCGTTTCAACTTGAGTCGGACTCGGTCGCACAGACCATCAGCCACATCTTGATTTCTCAGCAGTATCACGGTTACATCTTTCTTCAGACGTATGGACACAGTCTTCTAGGAGTCAGAGAATTTAAGTTTTCTGTAGTTATAGGCTGTTCTATCTGATCTTCTGGATAGATTGCTTCGTCAACGCCTTTGTAAAACTGTTCGTTGCCCGGATTATCCGCTTGAAGGCAATACAGCGCACCTTTGTTCAAGGGTTGAACATGAACGTTCTTTGGTGCTGAAATGGCAAGTTCGCATAGCTGTGATGCGTTTTTAGGATCTACGGTAGGTCCGAGTACTTCCGTGGTAATGTTTGTGTGAGAAAGCGTTGTGCTTGGCACAGATATGCGATCGTCGAAGTGGTTCACCTCGCCGTTACGTTTCCAGAAGGGATACTGTCAGCTTGAACTCTCGAATTAATGCTCAATCGATAAATGCAGAACAGGGGCCAAAGGCGCGATCTGCACACAGGTTTCAGCGACTTGATCACGTTGACAGTGCTCAACAACGAGTAGGACCTGTCTGAAGTCTTCACCTGATGCAAAAACTTCCGCCGGAAGGCCAGTGTCTTTTAAAAGAGCGTCGACGGCTCTAAGAGCGAATTTCGGGCCATTGATATTTCATCCCATATGATCTTCGTGACCACGAGTTGTTGAGCTTCTCTTAGTTGGCGTCCCACTAGCTTTTCTAGCTTCATTACTCGCTTTTCGCCTGCAATGTTCAAGCTGAGTTCACTGCTCTTTCCGCTGGTAGAAGACTAGCCGCATTCTCATCCAAGCCAAACACACCACATGGTGTCTGCTTCCAACTTCAATGTTATATACAGTATTTCATAGATACGTCTTTCCACTGCCATCTGGTCCGTCAATGAAAATGTATCGGCTTCTGCTACTGTCCGGAGAAGAAAGGATGCTATTTGTGGTCTCGTTCTGCATAGCATTGAGCGTATCGTAGTGACAGAGGCCGTTTCTCTCATAAGCGTCGTAGTCAATTGGTACAGCAGGAAACGAATTGCCTTCACGCATGTAGCCACCATCTGAGCCGAATCTCTACCCAGCAAGCTCATTCTGTTGAAGACGTCAAAGGCGAAACATAGAGCACACTCCCTATTGATTCTTCAAAAAGTTTAGTCATCGGACATTGAATGAGCAAATTCACCCAATAATTTGCTCACGAACTACATCACAGTAACAGAGCAAGCAGACGTTAAAACTCCTTATTGTTACAGCGGATTGGTGCTACACTGCTTCGAGGAGACTTTGCGGTAGGTATCTCACTCTCTGAAAATCCCTCACTATCTAAGAATCCAGCGGCTTTTGCTCAAATTTGGAGGTATCGTAAACTATCCATCAACCATTCGCAAATCCTCGAATGATGTTCTTCTTGTAGTGTTTAAGAGAAGAATTCGAAGGCAATATCTTTCAGCGTCTCTAGGTGGAAGGATGTACATGCTGCCTAGATGTCCTCCACTACGTCCTCTTGGTGTCCGATCTCGGTTACGATGAAGCCTGAAGTACTCTAGAATTGGTAGTAATAGGAAGTTATTGCTTCTTTCAGACTATCCGATCGTGGGGTTGTTGGCCATTTGGGTGTTCAATTGGAAATAGGCAGTTGGAGTTGTTTAGGTTCCTCGCGCGCGGCTCAGAGAATTTTGCTGCCCACCTTAGTTGAACTGGACAGTTGGAAAATGGTTTATGGGTCCATTGTGGATTGCAGGACATGATCAAGAGTGCGTGAATTTACCAAAACGTGCTACGATAGCAATGACGTCTTGCAAAGACTGCAGTAGTGACCGATTTGATTTGATAATACGGCGCACCAAGGGTAAGGGTTCAGCACTGCCCTCTCACGCCATGTAGTCTTGAAGTCCTTTGTATGGAGCATGAATCACTGTGTCAGAATGTAGTGGGTGCTGATTCTAGCGCTTGAGTGTAAACGCTTTTTTCGAAATTGAAGAGTGGTTCTCTTCAATTTTGACAAAAGCATCCACGGCAAACTGCTGTAACAATTTGCCAGCATGCGATATCGTGCTGCAAGAGTGCTGACAGAGAATAAATAGGAGTAGTACTGTTCCTATCGCGAATCCTGCCACCATTCTCGTATTTAGGCAGACTTGGACTCCAAATTCCATTGCCACTCGGAAAAAGAAGAGGGTAGGTTAGAAAACTAATCGATATTGCGAATTATCATCAAATCTTCTTTTGTTTTTATACCTAAATGAGCTGCAAGACTTCTCGAAGCAGAAATGTCGTTGTCTTCTACCAAAATAAACAGCCGCTTCATCGCCGGAATGTCATAACGCCGACGACGAGTCCCCTCTTTCTACTGTCTTTGAAAACGAAGTGGATAGCAACCGGAGGGAGCGTTTACTTTCTATCAGAGCATCACTTCGGCTTGTTTAAATTCACTCGTGATTTCAAGTGATTCGGCGTACACATTTACGTTAAAGATAAGCTGACCAAGGAGCCACTTCAGTTGGCGCAGTCAACGTTTCTCACGTCTTCGAAGCGGTGTTGGGTAGCCATCGCAGTGTGCAAAATGTAAAATTGCCCATATTGTCGCAGCTCTAGTACAAGTGGATAAAGCGGACCCAAACGGTGATAAATTTTCCCGCGGACACGATAGCAACAGGGACCTTGTTTTGAGTGTGTCTACGTGCGCCCATAGAGGCAGTGTTTGAGCGGAGTTTACGGTTCTGATGTTCTGTGACTGTGGAGTTTCGACGATCACACTCTTTCTCAGTCCTATAAGTAGGGTATTGTACATAGAGTTCATGTACCTCGCCCTCACTGCAAGCGGGATACTCGTTCAGTCTGAAATAAAAATGTGGGTAGTGAGTTTCGAAACATTGCTAACATGAAACGCACATCGCTACAACAACGCATCTTAAAAAAAAGCGGAGGTGGAACTGTAAAGAGTAAAGAACTCATAGTTGAGCAGAATCAGTCAGACTATGTTGCGAACATTAAAAACAGGAATGGCGAGGGGACCTGAGCAGCAGGAAAGGGTAGGAAGCAATAGAAAGAGGTAAATGCCATAAATGAGGGAAAGGCAGCACTGGTGACGACAGATGTGGATCAGCGAAGAGCAAAAAAGGGAAAGAACAGCGCACAAAAACAATCATCAACGAGTGAAGAAAAGCAGCGTTCCAGAAGAGGAAGAAGGAAAAAGGGAAGTAGTCAGCAGAAGGGTAGCAGGAATAACTGTCGCATTGACAGGCTCCACAAAATACGTTAAGGAAATAGCACTCGAAACGTCATCTGAAAAGGATGGCGCAATTCTAACCCACGAGGCAAAGATACTACGAATCACGTGGCAAAGTCTTACGAAGAATAGAAGAGAAAGGTGCTGATAGTATTATACCGCAAACTGTAATGTTCTCGAAATAAAATGAGAATCCTTCAACAGCATAGGAACTTTGTTACCAATATAAGATTCGTCAACTTGTGTAGGAGTGCAACTCGCAGTGCTACCACGCTCCTTTATAGGACTCCTATCTCTTCTATCAGTCCTTGGGACACCACTATCCTTTATCCTCTGCTGGTCTGAGCTTCCTTGACCCTTAAAAATAATTCCTGATGTTGCAAAGGTGGAAATGAGAAAGTAAAACTGTAGTGTCAATAAATAGTGTAAATAAATGGTGTAAATAACCAAAGTAAGCAGAAAGCAGTTGGGTCCTGATGCGAACTTTGAAAGCAAAAAGCAAGCAGAAATGAATGTCAGTGGTTTTTTTTTCATTGAGTGGAACCAGAGGAACACTTAATATATCTGGCTCTAATCCACATCTCGCTGTCCGTTTTAAAAAATTCGATGACGAGCTCAACGTCAAGTAATTTTTTCAAGGGCAACCGTCAATTACTGAGAGCTAAGTTGCTCCCAACAAAAGAAGAAAAGGTGAACTTCCCAAGCCGTCAATCGTCCTTTAAGCGTGTACATGTTATCC